CACAAGCCACTCAGTGGACCAGGACGGCCAGAGCACGCCGAGGTGAGGCCTCTGAATGGCGGTGTTGGTTGAGGATGCTGACCAGACCACGGGCTGCCAGAGGACCAGCTACGTCTGTCTTGAAGAAGGACACCCAGAGTGCTCCTCGGAGGTGAGGATGGACTTTGTGTGTGTTGTCAGGAGGACGTCGTCCCTGGAGTAGGACACCGTGCTTGCTCAAGCCAAGGGTCCAGAAAAACGAGGCAGGCCCTCTCCAAGATGGACCGAGGGCACAGCGGCTGCAGCAACGGGCTCAGCCTAAGGGCCATCGTGAGGACGGCGCAGGACTGGGCACGGTTTGGCCCGTTGTACACAGAGCTGTATAAATCAGGACCGGCTTGATGGGAAGTTGCAACAACAACAACAACAACAGAGATGGCTAGAATCAGAAAAAAATGGGCCCTGTGTGGTGGCGAGGATGTGCAGAAGCTGGAAACCTCGTCTACCACTGGTGGAAAGAACACAAAACGACGCAGCCCTTCTGCAGAAGAGCCCCTTACGAAGGTCAACACCTGGCCCCGCAGCGCCACTCCTACGTATACAGCCCAGACCTGAGAGCAGGGACTCAAAACAGATATCGGGCACCCCAACATTGCCCACCACACGTGTCACCACAGTAGAAACAAGCCCAGGGTCCTCCAGAGGGGCACAGAGGCACAGGCTGTGGTGCCCACGTCCACCCACAGCGGTCTGGGCTCCAGCCATCAAGAGAAGCTCCGAGTCATCCAGGTGAACCTTGGGGATTTCCGGCCGAGGCCGAGAGATGGGACCCAGAGGGTGCACTCTGCACGGCTCCCCTTACCCGGGATGTCTGGGGCAGGCAAATGCTCACAGGCAGAGGGAAGAAGGACCTGTGGTCCCCAGGGGCTGGGGCAGAGGGGGTGGGGGTGCCATTGCTAACGGCTGCTGGGTCTCTGTCTGGGGTGATGACAGGTTTTGGAAAACTTGGCGAGGGGTGCTCCACCCTGTGAATGGTGTTAAAATCATGGCATTGCACACTTCAGAGCAGTTGCCAGCGCAACGGGGTGTCGCATTCACCACAAGAACGTTAGAGCGACCACCACCAGAGGAGCCGCTCGTGGCAGCGCCGGAGCTATGGCACGGAGAAGGCTGAGGAGCCCAGGGGCTCTGCCCCTGACCTCACTCCATTTGTCCGTGCATCAGCCC